CAAGGAGACCATCGTAACTTGTTAGATGATAGTGATACTTTCTGAGGAATGATTTGAATACCTCTACGTATAGGCAGTTCCAAGCACCCCGATTAGTTCCTCATCATCATACCTTACTCAGTATCTTCACAACTTCACTAATTGTTCTTCTGATAAACCCTTACCCTTTTCACTACGTAAATTAAAATGATAAAATCATATGAAATATTAGATTCGAGAGTCATAAGAGCGTTCGATTTTAATTTAACGTATGGTAAAAACAAAAATACAAGCGCTCGCACTTAGGAAAAATTAGCCAAAAAGTCATGAACCTATTGCACTTTTGTCAATTCTGTCCTAAACATTTTCATTGTGCCAATTGAGTCCTAAACCTTTTTACGCTTTGCCAATTGAGTCCATCTAATCAATTTTGGCTAAAAATCACTGATGTGGATGCCGAGCGTCTTACGTGACGCGACTGACGTTGATATTGATAATTTTTCAATGATATTTTACTATTTTTTCGAATTTTTTTATTAATTTTTTGTTTTTCTTTTCGTATGTTTTCCTTCTTCACTTTTTTTTCTTTTTTCTATTTTTTTATTTAGATCAACCATAAACATGTCATCATTTTCTTCAATTTCGAATCTGGAAGCCTTGGAATGCAAAACCTAGACTTCATTTTTTCCTCCTCAATCTTCAATATGATTCTTGGACAAATCTCATCTCTTGAATTGACCATTAATTGGCTTTTCTCACACATCCTCACCGTAAATATTTTCCTTATGCCCTCTAACATATCAACAATGGGACATTCCCTAGCGCGCGCGCGCACACACACACATATATATATGCGTTGAACGTTTCACTCAAATTGTTCTCGATAGAATTGCAGTTTTGTCCACACTTGATAAATGCCTTGCAAAAGTGTTCTAAACTTGTCTCATGAAGTCTTCATATGCATGAACAGACTCTTCCTTCATTTCTTTTGTTGCTATGTTGAAATTGGCCTCATATGTTGAATATGTAGTTCTCCAACATCAATTCCTAACTGTTTCTCCCTTCTATAGTTTTTTTAGTTAGCATAAATGTGCCGAGCACAATTCCTCTACTCTACTTGCGAAGAGAGTTTAGAAACTGCATTAAGAAGACCTTGCAACATGTTATTTGACATGCAAATAAGTCTGTCTATTAACAACAACATACTTCTATTAGTAAAGCTTGCACACAATCTTACCTTATGTTGGTCACTCATGAAGGTCTAGCTAGGACCTTGCCCCGCTTTCAAGTTTTTTAGTAATAACTTGAGGAACCAAGTCCAAATTCTTTTAGGCTCAGCTTCAACCAAAGCCCATGCAATTGGAAATATTCGGGTGTTTCCATTTCTGCCGGTAGCACAAGGCAACATCCCTTTAATTGAAATCTTAATAAAGCATCCATCCAATCCAATCCAATTACTCGCCTAGAGCCTGCTAGAAAACCCTCTTTCAATTCTTTGAAGCCCGCATAGAATCTCTTGAACGTATTATATCTTCCAATCAAATGCAATATGTATCGAATCAACTCAGCCTCATAAGAGTGTAGCAACTTGTATTGCTCAATAAATGGATGTGTGATTATCTCAATAGCTCTAGCAATCGCTCTGTAACAAATCCTCTTATTCAGTATCCATGTCAAATCTCCATTGCATTCGCTTGCATTTGTGATGTTGTATACCTCAAGTTAGCTCTAATTTGAGAGCAAGAACTCCTCCGCAAGCCATACATAAATTGCATTCTTATTTCTCATGCTCCTAGGGCAAGTATGTTCATTTCCATCAGTCTTGATGATGAAAGTCTTTTTACTATACATCCAACTACCAAAAACTCTCCATTCACAGCCACTCATAGACCTACCATCCATCTTTTCCGCTTCACTCCTCTTCCATCCAATGTTAAATCCATTTATGACTGCATAAAGTTGTACAACTTTCTTGAATTAAGCACGTGAGGTAAATCGCATCCTTACTTTAAATTGTATTTCTTTATGATCACATTTGGGGTCATATTAGATGGTTTTGGGTTTTCTTTAGTCATTGACTTCTTCATATCCATAAGAGTTAGGACGGCTCAAATTTTCATCTCCCTCTTCTAGATTAGTCTCTATCATTTTCACCCTCATCCTCATTATCAGGAATGTAAATGTCAACTATATTAGTAGCAGTTCTCTTCTTATTCGCCATGCAATAAAGAAATCCTTGACTAGTTTATTTTCCGTGAACCAAACGCCGGAAAATCGGAAAAACGTCTTCCTTAAAGTTATTTTCCGTGAAACGAATGGAGTCTTGATAATTTCTCAAAGTTCGGGGCTGTTGTGCAAACCTTGGCAAAGTTCAGGACGGTTTTGGATATTTATCTAAATTTATTCACATGCAGTACGTTTCACCATGAATATCAACATGATTAGTCCATATTTTGACGTCGCCAGTTCAATTACGTAAAATGAAAATGATGGGATTATGTAACATATTAGGTGGGGAGGGGTCATGAGGGGACTCAGTGTTTTTTTCTAATTCAATGTTCGGCAAAAACAAAAGAACGCACGCAACACTGACTTTTTCTGCTAGGTTTTCATATCCATTACATAAAATTATTAGCATAAAATGGAAAAGTCCAGGTCTTTTAATAAGAAAGGTTAAGAAAAATGATTACTCGACTGATCCGTCGCTTTTTGGAGAATAACGGACCATCATTAGCCTCATATTTTATCTTGAGAATCGGATGACTTGTTTATCCAAATCCAAGAGAAATTAACACTTTATAAGAAGCACATCTATGAAGTGCAACACGGACATATGTGCAAGAAAGAAAAAATCTTAGTTACCTTACAATGTAGCTGGTTTTAAAAATTGGTGTGAAATAAATCAACTTTGTATATAATGAATTTGGTATGACATTTTGCCTTTTCTTAGACAAAAAAGTCACAATTCGTAATATTTAAAAAAGAATTGCATCTTAAGTATATGACATTTTTTCAAGAGTACTAACACCACAAGTATCTAAAAAATTTTTAAACAGAATGTGGAATTTTAATATAGTCTTATATTACTTAAATATGTGATTATAATTTGTTTTATAAGAATGTATTTGGGTGATGTGTGGTTATACTAATAGCTGTAATTTGAGGCGACCGTTGTGACAAATGCTAGCACCACCATCGCTCTAACCACCGTGGTTGCGGTAACTCGATATGGTCATCCACCCACAATTTCCTCTCCCAATTTTTTTTAAAATTTTTTTATGAAGTTATTAAGTGATTCTTTTGAATATTTTTTATTTTTATTTTTATAACGATATCGGACATAATATCCGATGTTTTACCAAACAAAAAATAAGTTATAACAATTTCCTACATTTTTTTATCCTTTTTATCGTATCCTAGTCATTATTTTACAACCAAATATAATCTAAAACTTTAACGTCGCTTCTTTGTCCGAATTATTCTCGGAGGTTCTTTGCAATCTTCGTTAAATAGAATATTTTTGGCACGTGAAATTTTGCAAATAAACCAAGCTTGCATTACTAAAAAGAAGAAATAATAATAGTGAAAAAAAAGTAGAAGAAAAAAAGAAAGAGAGAATAAAAATAAGAAAAAAAAAGGGGGTGTCTAATTCGATCAAATTGGAAAGGCCGAACCTGATTTCTTGGGCCTGATAGAATTCGTGCAGCCCACTAGCCCATTCAGCCAGATTCCAAGCTAGGTTCATGGGCCCAGGCCCATTATTTGAATTGGAAATTCATCTTGGCCCTGAAGCTCAAAAGGAGAGCAAAAGGAATAACTCTCGCTCGATCCGTGGCATTCTCGAAGTTTCTTGACCATCAGTCGAGGCCGGTGTTCACCGTCCACTATCTCTGGTCGTTGACGAATCTCCGTCGCCGGCCGGCCGGCCATCAACCGGGAGCATTTACAGAAACAGAGAGCGCAAAAATCATTAGAGACTAAGTTGATACAGTATATCATCTCCCTGATTTCTCTCACTTCCGAGCTTTCTTCATCGATTTCAGGCCGTTGTAACCACTTCTGGTTGATGGCGTTCGCCGTTCCACCGCCGCGTCGATAGTCCTTTGTTCCACTCTGTTTTTTGGCAGGGAAGCTCGCCGGCTCTTATTTCGGTAGTCGACACTTACCGAAGCTCCTTTTGCTGATTTTGGTCACCAACCGCGGCTTCAATTGGTTTCGCGGACGATTTAACAGCTCAGGCTCTCTTTCTATAAATAAGAAATCGTGACATACTCATCTCTATTAAGATCAGGAATGGCTTTATTTGAGACTATTTCATTGATCTTGAATCTCCTGAACGGATTTTATGTGTAGTGTAGTCTAGAAACCGAGTCCATTGGTGTCTCATGTCGTTCCTCAATCGAATGCACGTTACCTGATATGTCTGACTTAGGTCAGTATGGGTTTGCTTTTATTATTGATCTTTATTTTTCTATTTGTGCTGTCGAGAACCCGTCATCCGATATCAGCCAAATAGGAATGCGGGCTCAAATTCGAGACATAAATTCAACAAGTTTAATTATCATTTTTCCTTCTTAATTTCGGGTCGGAGTATAGAACCTCTTGCCACTTGGTCATCAATCTCATCTTTGAGGGAAATTATTGGTTCAAGCAATACAGTTCATTTTTTCAGATAAACGCAATTTCACCATTATTGCACTGATGTCGTCTGCTGTTACTTGTTACAAACATTTGGGTTCACTGCACATGCGATAATTATGTTCCTATGATTTGACTCTAACCATGATCCATTACTTTTTTTTGTTATGAACAGTGGAGAGCATACCATCAACCTAAGATTAGATCTCAAGCTGCAGTGGCACTGCACAAAGTCATTCCAAACCTCGAAGGCACAATCTAAGATTTTATTAATTGCGAGAGGGGGAAAATATAGTCCTCCTTTATCCATGATTGACCTGAGGATTGGGATTAGCCAAAAAGAATAAATAAATACAATAAATAAAAGAAAGAAGAAAAGAAAATTTCCCTCACATAATTTAATTTAATTAATCCACTTCGACATTTACGTATCAGATAATCTCCACTACTACATGAGGAATCAAGAACGCGACCTGTAATAGCCATAGACGGCATAGAGGGACTGTATGAAAGTAAGCACGAGCAAAACGAAGGCAGCAATGAAGGAAATGATTGACCAGGGATTGTCGAAGTACTTGTTCTTGAGAATGGCTCTCCAAGAATTCCACTTTTTCACGAGACTGACTCTCCAGGACATATCTTCAGAATAATGTTTCCATTGGCTGTAGATGTCCACATCTCTAGACACATCACGGAGATAACTGTCGTTGATGTCGAAGGCCACCCCCTGGCAAAGCCGGTTGAAGAGGTCAGCGACCTCGGTGTCGCTCCCAAGGCAGTGGTCGATGATAAAACGGTGGCGGAGGTACCGGACGTCCTCGGGGGAGTTGATCAAGTTGTGCATGAAGATTACGTACAAGGTGACGTGCTTGCTGCAATCGAACTGAGACTGCTCGAAGGCTATCAAGTTGAGGAAGAGCGACCTCGTCCCTTCGTGGATCTCAAACTGCGGGATCCGGAGGATCCCGTCCTTGAGCTGGATGTCCCAGCAACTGTTTGGAAATCTGTCCTCGATCTTGATCCCGGCTTCCCGGAGCTCGGTCAAGCAGCAAGTGAGGTGTCCCCGTCTCTGCGACCATTTCTTGGTCTTGGACCGCTTCGGGTCCAAGAGCAGGTGGTTCCGCCGGAACACTTCGAGGCAATGGACCCTGCCATGGTTACATAACGGGTCGAACTGCAATCTTCTGCTGCTGTCCAAGGCAAGGAATCTCTCCGGCAGCGGAGGATCGAAGAATTTCTTCGGCAGCAAAGGGTCGAAGAACGGGATCGCCAGCTTGGCCACGCGCCCCTTCTGGTTGGGGCCGCCGAGCTGGAGGCCGAGCAGTCGGTCGAGTACGAAGAGAGGGATCTGATTCTCGAGCAGGATCATGTCCCGCTGGATCTCAAGCATCGATCGCCGCATTGAGAAGACGGGGTCATTGCGAGGGTAGCCGAGTTTCTCGAACCCCTCGGCGAATCCCTGGAACAGCTCGATCATGAAGCACCCGTCGAGAACCATCATCTCCACGAACTCGTCGGAGCTCATGGATATCTTTCCCTCGTAGCAGGCACGAGCTCTGACCTCGACCTTCTTCACCGAGTCTAGATAGCGGCCTATTGCCTGATGGGAGCGCTCGAGGATGCGGTGGAGGCAGCGCCACTTGTGCCGCTCCATATGGCGGAGGTGCTCCGCCCCGTGGTGGTACGGCCCGAGGGAGACGATCTGGGGGACCCAGTCTTTGTCATTGCCATCCTTGAGATAGTGCGGAAACCGGTAAATGGAGAGATTTGCCCATGAGCCTGGCAAGTTTTCCTGGCGACCTTGGTCGAGCTTCTCATCGATGGAGACGACCCACTCGGACTCGGGAGGCCTCGGCTCATAGTCGGGGACGATGTTGCCCCCATAGGTTGATTCCTTGGGGAGTCGAGATTCCACAGTTTCTCGGAGCTGGAGAGTGATTACGTACCAACCCAAGAGCTCTTTGTTGTCAACAGCGGCCATTTCTTGTGAAGAAATTGGTCTGTCTTTGTTTCTCTGCCTTTGCCTTGAATCGGTTCTCATCCTTTATATTGCTGCTTTCTAAGCAAAATTGCTACTTTAATGGCTACCGGTTTTGGAACAACAAAGGAGGAGAGATTCCTTCAATCCAGAGCAAATATTCATGCTCCAGTCCAGTAGTTGGTTGCCACGTGTACAAATGGGCTCACTAATTTCAACTTTGTTTCCCTATCCCTTTTCTTCTCTCTCTCTCTCTCTTTCATTTTTCCAACACTGAGATTCAAAACGAGCTTTATAATATTCTAGGCCTTATGAATCACGTCGATTGCGTCGTCATATTAATAAGCTGAAAGCGTGACGGACAACATGCCTCACCTTAGCCATACAAGGTACAATAATGGGACTGGCTTTTCATCTGCCCAAAAGGAATCGGACACATCATGCTCCGCGTGAAACACATGACCACATAGTCCGCCTGTTTGCATCCCTCCCGCAGAATGGTTGATGTTTTTGTTTTGCCCCGCTCAGCCTTTTCATTAGATTTCCATAGAGGCCAGAATGATTTTCTTATTAATGGGAGAAACAGAGAGTCGAATATGGCAGCATTTTGCGTGCAACTCCCCTTAAGAACAGCAATAAAAGGATAGCGCGAGAATTAGATATGACTATGCACATCTAACCCCGCCCTCTCTCTCTCGAGAAGCTATCAAGTGAATTTAATCTCTTTGGATTCTTTCTCTTTCACCATAATTGATAAAATGCGAGTGTGAAATCGATTGAGACGGCCCAAATACCAAATGATTTGTCCTTTTTTCTTTTTTGTTCCAAAAATTGGTTGTGCTTGATCTGTGGGGGATTGAACCTTTACTAACTGCTTAATCGAAGCACAAATCAAGAACTCATGCATGAAATACTTTCTTCCTTGCTTTGTTGAGAAGTTATTATTCGTAATACTTGTATCATGTACAATAGCACGTAAAAAAGTCAGCCAGTAAAAAACTAGAATTCCATAATTCACGGATCTGGTTAATTGTAATTAATGGAAAAATGCTCTATTTACTAAGTCTGCGATAAATTTTGTAGGTTGAGTCCAACATATTTAGCATTGTGTGGGTATGACGGTATCATGTGGGATGCATAATATAGCAATGCATACAATACTTTTCTTTTTTAGAGAGTCGTGTTTTTATCCATCCCTTCCCTTTAATCACTTTTTTTTAAGGAGGGATATAAATATGGCATTAGAGTTACTACCACGAAAAACCCAAATTAGTATATTTGTGACAATTTTATCCCAAACTAATTTTTTTATTACAAAAAATCACAAAATGGTACACCTGTGATAAATTTATAAAAAAATAATTTTTTTACCATAAAAAACCCCAAACTGGTACATTTGTGACAAATTTACTTTCCATTAAATTGGATTAATATCACGAAAAATCACAAATTGGTACACTTGTGACAAACGGAGGGTAAAACCCCAATTGGTACACCCGTCAACTGTCACGTGTTCATTAAACTCATAAATTTGATAATAAAATATAACAAAAATTAAAGGGGGGATAAAATTTTCACAAATGTACTAATTTAGTATTTTTTGGTGATAAAAAAATTAACTTAAAATAAATTTATCATCAATTTGAATTTTTCATAGTATTAACTCTTATAATTTATTAGTTTAGGTGGGGATAATGACTAGCAGGACATGGCAAGGACGGAGGACAATACAGTCCTTTTTCTTGGAATGAATAATTGAAGGACGAGGGGGCGGCTCCCATCGTTTTGTGAGCACCTTTTTCCCTCGAGTTGGGGGGGCACACATCTTTTGAAATATTTACGTGGGGCCCCATTTAGCAAAAAAGTCTACGTGGGGCCCTTGATGTTGAATCTTGATCCCATTGACTTTCTTTCTCTCTGTAGTCATGGAGTGGATCCGCGGTTATTGCGAATTTGCCACTCCGTGCAAAGATATTTTCAATCCACAGGAAGACCATCATAACTCGTTTGACGATACTTTCTGAGGAATGATTTAGATACCATTACGTATAGGCAGCTCTAAGCACCGTCATTGGCTCGCCCTCATCATACATTACTCGTCATTTTCACAACTTCACTAATCGTTCTTCTCATTACGTAAATTAAAACGATAAAATCATATAAAATATTAGGTTTGAGAGTCATGAGAGCGCTCGATTTCAATTTAACGTATGGTGAAAACAAAAATACAAGCGCTCGCACTTTAGGAAAATTATTCAAAAAATCCCGAATCTATTGCACTTTTGCCAATTCAATCATAATCATTTTCATTGTGCCAATTGAGTTCTAAAAATTTTGATATTTTGCCAATTGAGTTCAGTCAATTTTGGCTGAAAATCATTGATATGGACATCGAATGTATTACCGACGCTAACTAACAATTTTTAATAATATTTTAATTTTTTTTAATTTTTTTTGTTTTTCTTTTTGTATGTTTTCCTTCTTTAATTTTTTTCTTTTTTCTGTTTTCCTATTCAAATCAACCATAAACATGTCATCATTTACTTCAACTTCGAATCTGGAAAGCCTTGGAATGCAAAACTTAGACTTCATTTTTTTCCTCCTCAATCTTCAATCTAATTCTTGGACAAATCTCATCTCCTGAACCGACCATTAATTGGCTTTTCTCATAAATCCTCACTATAAGTATTATTCTTATGCCCTAAGGTGAACCATGAGGGAAGTTATTGGATTCCTAAGGGGGCGCAGACGGTCCCTCGCGCGAGGTGGCATCTACACTTACTATAAGCCCTCTCAAGTCCTATCAAACACAACTTGGTTTCTCAATTCAATTAATTAATTTAAGTAACTTTGGAGCTATCTCTAACCATTACAGTTTGATTAGAAACCCGAATAAGATGCGGGAGATCATCTTATTTCTATGAACCGGAAATTCTAATCGTGGGAACTTGGTTACGCTAGATTAATCTAACGTCTTTTTAGTATTTTTTTTTCTCTTTTATGAAAACATTTGCACGCAATCATCATCAATTTTGCCATCCTAAATCCACCAACATGTGAAAATGATAATGCATGGTGCAAAAGCAATAAAGATAAACACCAAATAATCAAAGTAGTAAATAAAGTAGAACCAAATAAAGTAATTGAAGTATGAGAAAATAAAGACCCGAGCCAATCGGATAAAAATTAACAAGGCTTAATTATTTAGCCCGGGACAAGACCCCCGTGAGCTATAAGTCAAAAGAAACGTGCACTAATCTATGATGCATAAATGACTTAGTCTAAGTTCCTTCCTAAGCACTAAATGACATGCATGACGAATATTGAACTACATGAGATAGAATTACTCCCGAAGCTAATGCAATAATTATCTAGATGCAATCTAAATGCGACACATCTCGAGCATTCATCGGCAAATTGGCTGCTAATTGTCAATTAGCCTCAATCCTAATTCCTAGAACTTCACCATAATTTAGTCACTCTTAAAGCGCTCATCAGATAATTTCCACTATACGAGAAATCAAGAACCTGGCCTGTAGTAGCCATATACTCCATAGAAGGTCTGTGTGGAAGTAAGAACAAGCAATACGAAAGCAGCAATGACGGAAATGATTGACCAGGGATTGTTGAAGTAGTTGTGCTTGAGAATGGCTATCCAGGCATTCCACTTGTACTCGAGATAGGCACACCAGGATTGTCTCCAGCGGTTCGCGTAGTTTTTCACCTCTTTAGACAGTTCATAGAGATAACTGTCCTCGATGCTGAAGACCACCTCCTGGCAAAGCCGGTTGAAGAGGTTAGCCACCTCAGCATCGCTCCCAAGCCGGTGCTTGATGATCCCGCACTTGCAGAGGTACCTGACGTCCTCGGGGGAGTCGATCAAGGCGTCCAAGACGATTATGTACGAGGTGATCTCGTTGCTGCAATGGAAGTGAGACTGCTCGAAGGCTATCAAGTTGAGGAAGAGCGACCTCGTCCCCTTGTGGATCAGAAGCTGAGGGATCTGGAGGGTCCCATCCTTGAACTCGATGTCCCAGAACCAGTCCGTCTTTCTCTCGCTGAACCCGATCCCAGCTTCCTGGAGATCCGTCACGCAGGGAATGGAAAGTTGCTTTATCTGCCGCCATTGCATCGTCCCTGTCATCTCTCGCCTGCGGCCCAAGCCCAGGATGCTCAGTCGGTACACTTCGAGGAAATGGAGCCCGCCATGGTCAGGTACGATCTCCAGCCCCCTGCTGCTACAGTCAGGCCGGGGAGAGTATTTGGGCATCAGTTGGGCGAAGAACGTGAGTGCCAGCTTGGCCACGAACCCCTTGTGGTCGGAGATGCCGAACTGGAGGCCGAGCAGCTGGTCAAGTATGAAGAGTGGGATCTGATTCTCGAGCTTGAGCATGTCCCCCTGGATCATGTGCATCGATCGCAACAGTGATCAGACGGGGTCATTGCTGGGGTACCCAAGTTTCTCAAACCCCATGACGACGCCCAGGAACAGCTCGATCACAAAGCACCCGTCAAGAACCATCATCTCCACGAACTTGTCGCGTCTCATGGATATCTTCCCCTCGTAGCAGGCGCGAGCTTTACCTTCAACCGTCTTCACTGAGTCTCGATAGAGGCGTAACTTGTGACCGGTGCGCCTGAGGATGTGATCAAAGCAGCGGCACTTGTGCCACTCCATCTGGCGAAGGTGCATCTTACCATGGTAGTACGGCCCGAGGGAGACGATTTGGGGGGACGTAGGCCTTGTCCTTGCCATGCTTGAGATAGTGCGGGATCCGGTAAATGGAGAGGTTTTCCCAGGAGCATGCCTGATTGTCCTTGCGAACTTGCTCGAGCTTCTCTTTGATGGAGGATAAAACCCCCTCGGACTTGGGCGGCCTCAGGTCATCTTCGGGGACGTTCCCACCCTCATTTGTCTCAACCACTACCTCGAGCTTGGATGGTTCTTGCTGCGGCTCGTGAACCTGGTGGTCCTGAGGCTGTTGTTCTTTGTGTTGATCTATTGATTCAGTGCATGAATTGGAGGTTGATTTCATCAGGACTCGACATTCCACAGCTTCTCTGAGCTTGTGACCAATTGAACGCAAACGGGAAATGAAGGGCCTTTTGTTAGGTTTGCTGGAAATATCA